GTAAACAGCAACACATGAGATGCATATTATGAGATAACTGCACATTGTGGGTTTGGAACAAATACACCTTTTAGGATCTGAAGGGACCCTTGAATTCTGTAGCTGACCTATATGAATGGACAGCTTAAAGCCTTATGTATTTACTGTGAGGCTTAAAGGGGTTGACAGTGTCCCTTTAAAGTAAGATTTATCAGGGGTATATATAGATATATTGTATATATGTTAGAGTAAGAAAAATAACTTATAAACAGAAAATCTACTATATAAAATGATTATATAACCATTGACTTTCACATGTGGGTCATTAAGTGGTAAATAACAAACAGCAGAGAAAAAATAGACATGTCTTGAATCTGATTCTTGCTGCCTGCTTTTTCCCATAGGGAGCTGAAAAGTATCTATTAATATTTTGGAGTGTGCTGTTCTCGGATGTGCAACCACTCTGATGTGTAGCTAAATGAAATGCCTACCATACATTTAGGAGGAATAAAAATTAAAAACATAATTTAAGTTTAGTTGGGGAGATAATTTAAAAGATTTTAGTAAAATGTAGTAATGCAAAATATTGACCATGTGGTTGCTATTTAATACTGCCTATGGTTAATATGGACATCTGGGAGATCTAGAGGATGGGAATATACAGCACTTTGACTTGCAGTTCATCAGTGAGCCTTCCATATACATTGGTATTTGCCATTTTTTTAAACCTCTCTGCATATAGATTTTATAAAAAAAATATGAAAAGAGAGAAAGAAGAGGTTCCATGGATGTCTGTGTCCAAAGAATTCCAAAGAAGAGATGCATTTATTTATCTACAAGTATTAAAATAATTCCTATATTATGTATATGCACTTCATCCAGTTTATTTGCAACGTTTGTGCCTTGAAATCGAATGGGCTTTTGGTTATATGTAATTCGCTCCAACGTAGACATAAAACAAGTGTGATGGTGATTTCAGGGCTGGTTACTAGCTGGATTGTTTTGGCCCAATTTCCAAAAAGAGAAGAGTATGGGTAAGTTCCTGAAGCCAAGTTCAGGCACCTAAATAACTAGGGGCTGACATTTAAAAGGGCTCCATACTCTACAGCTCCCAGTAAAGAGGCAGTAAACAGGCCAGGCTTCAAAACCTGGATCTACCGCTCAGAATTTAGAAGATGTTTCCATTTATTTGGGTACATGACTATAACGTAGTAACGTTAAACTCCTCTTTGCAAAATCTTGGCCTTGGGTGTTTTTTTAAGTCTACTTTCAACCTTCCTTCTTTTTGCAGAAGTTGTAATGCCATTGCCAGCTGTGTTTGAGTTCCTCCTTGAACAGGGCACTGGTTTCTAGCTGTGCTCCGGGAACCACCATTTTTTTCCAGAGCCTTTTATGACAGTCCGTGGAATTAACAGTTTGCCAGACAAGCTGAGGAGGACTGGTGTTCTGGGAAGGGAGACAGTCTGGTGAGAGACTTTCTCCCATGAAATAACACACAGGCTGGAAAAGAAGAGACTGTAGGCTCTTAAGCACGGCCTTCTGGTACGTGGGTACCTGCTGTACATCCTGCCGTGTTGTTGTGATGCCATTAAAATCAACAGGCCGATCCTTGCCAAAACACTGTGGCCTGTGGCATGTATGGAGGCACAGTACTAAGGGCAGAGCTAATACAAGTGTTGCTAGAAATAAGAGTGTCATTCCAGCTACTTACATCAGCTAATTTGCAATGACACTTTCAGTTTTCTTGGACCTCTTTTGTCACAGTGCTCTATGGAACAAGTTTTTGTTCTCACAAGTCTCTTTTAAATTTCAGCTGTAAACAACAAACTCGATTCTTTTTATGTCTCTTACTCACTACCTAATAAAGGATAAAGCCTAAATGTTAGAATGTATAGTGGATTTTCTGTGCCTTGCTGTTCCACCCCTGTTGGTCAGTGACAAATCAACATACTTGGGATGTTAGCACAACAGTTTTATATTATATACACCTGTATATACATATATATGTATGTACACACATGTACATGTACACATGTGTGTGTGTGTGTGTGTGTGTGTGTGTGTAACATATGTCTATACATACATATATATAAAAGAAAATACTGGCAGAACAGTGTGATTGGGCAAGGGGAGCTTCCAGTCAAGTGTATGACCACAGCAGCTGAAAAAGGAGCTAGCAAACAGAAGACACTTTACACCTACCTGTCAATGCACCAATACAGAAAGCACTGCAAAAGAAAAATGTGTCATCGTATTTCATATTACAGGAACACTGCAGGACCAAGAGGAAGCCTAAACTATAAGGAAACAGATCATTTCATCCAGGACACAGTCCCCCACTGGAATAACAGTGTGAAATCAGACTGCAGGGTATGAACTCAGAAAAGCAAATAGGTTCAGGGATGTTTCCTTTAATTCTATACAAAGTGTTAATGAATGACTGTTCTGTTCTAACCCAAATACATAGTATTTTTCTGGGAGAAATATATATATACTTTTTATGCTATCCACATTTTTCCAACTATCTTTGGCTTTAAACCTTTGTTCTGAAGGTTCATCATTGCTTTGAACCATGAGATTAGTTACCTTCTTGTAAGGTGCTATAACAGCTGACTTTGAGAGGTCAGTAAGCAAATGATATAAATACAATGATCTGAAATGAGCTGGGACAAAAAAAAAAGAGCCGGGCATGTCAAGGAATATTGTATTTGAAGAGTATACATCTTTATTTTAAAATAAATTAAAGTTATATATAACTAAAAATAGCTAAATAAAGTTAATATAATTAGAAGAATTACATCTGTCATTTTGGTAGTGGAATATCACAATTGGCTCTGTATTTTAAAAGACGAAAAGACTTTTTAGATGCTAAATCAATGCAAGAGGACTGTGGGTAAATTTAATATCTCACACTTGTTATCTTCTGCTTATGCCAGGAAGACCATAACTGCATGGATTTGCCTTTAGTCACTTCTACTTCAGTCCCCAAAGATAGCATGGAGTATTGGCCCAACATTCCCTGAAAGCTGAAATAACTTTCTGCTAGGATCCACACCTGCCTCTGCCTTCTGCTCACAGTAAATGCATAGTTTTTAGGCTCTCTTCAAAGCATCCTGAAAAATTTGTATCTTAATAGCTCTGAGTTTTGTAAATGTAAACATATCAATTTGTGACATAAAACCAATGTTGAAGAGCAAGACACTATTACAGATTTGAAGAGTTTTCTTAGGGACGGCAAGATTCTTGTTGCTAGGTTTGAAGCACAGAGATGTAAATCGTTTGGCTGCCTAAATCCCTTACAAGTCAAGTGGAGTCAGAAGCCTAAAATGCTTTCTGTTAAGATAAGTGCCTAAGTTTCTACTTTTAGAAGTGACTTCAGCACAGTTCAGACTTCAGGGATCTAAGCAGTTGCAGCCCACAGGAAAAAAACAGTAGGGATGCTAGTTACTTGAAAACGTTATCCTATCCTATTACATAATTCTTTTACATCACACATTCCCTTGTTCTGTTTCTGTAGCTGTGAGCACGATTACTGCAGTGCCAGTGAATCAGAGAAGCTTCTCTGCTGGGATTTGGTGCATGATTGAAAGACATAGTGCACTACCAATAAACTCTACCTTAAACTAGCTGAAATCTCAGACACGAGAGTTGTGGGTTTAACCAAAGACAAGAGCTTTATGGCCCCTCACTCCTACAGGTTTGTTAAAATTCAGGACCATTTAAGAGTAAATGTTGCTATCTGGAGGATGATTATTACTCAGCCTGAACTGAAACGTCAGGGGCTGAAAGAACCTGTGCTCCAGATCCAAATTAAAAATACTAAGAAAACTAGAACACTCTTAACCCTGGGACTCCTGAAAACAGTCACAAAGCTTTTTGATTTCAGTAGAGGCAATTTTTTGCCCTCAGTGCCTGAGGCCTTTTGCAGTCATGCTGTGTACTGCAATTAGGTATTATTCAACTCTGATTCAGTGTTGATAAATAAACTTGGCTGAGACTGAAACATGACTCTGTGGCTGCCTAGTTTCTGTGATCAGCTTCATGCTGGAATGATACTTGCATGGTGGAATCAAGGTAAGAGGAATCAAAAGACTTAAGGTAAAGAACTTGAGAA